TCGAACCAGCTCTCTGAGAAGGGATGCTGGCATTGTAAGCAGGAGCTTAGTCCATTGTGCCACAACACCAGCCCCTAAACTTTGAGTTTATTCACTTTGCCTTCACAGCAACTGTTAAACTGAAGACAATACCCCAAAGACACAGCTGGATAAGAACAAGTAATTTTGGAATTTCTGCCATTCCAGTTAGAGGTTCTATTTTTCTAGACAAAGCTTTTGGTGATTTATTATTTTTTTAAATACAGCTATAAAATTGTAACTGAGTAGGAAGATCATGGTTAAAACAATTTTTATAGGTAAAGCAACTTGTAAACATTTAAGTTAACTTTAGGTTACATTAAATACTGAGAACTAAAACTAGAGTTTTAAGAAACTACCTGCATACATTTGCGTGGTTAGACATTCCCAATCTACCTTTAGATTTTTAACTTTTAAATTTTTAGTTATTTGTATTTATTTATTTGGAAGGCAGTGACAGAGAGGGAGAGATCCATCTTCTAATACTCCATCTGTTGGCACATGCCTCAGATGCAACACCCAGAGCTTGGGCCGGGAGCTTCTAATTCCATCGGAGTTTCCACCTGCTGCCTCCTAGGGTGTATATTAGCAGGAAGCTGGATCAGGAGCAAGACTGCCAGCACTCAAACCAGGCACTTCAGTAAGAGCCATGGGCATCATGGGCATCCCACTGTATCACAATACCTGCTCCAAACTGACTTTCAAATAATTAACTGAAAAATGAGTTAGACAAGTAGAATCATTTCTAGTGCTCTACACAGCACAGTATCGGGCTACAGTTTACAAAGCTTGCTAAATATTTATAAAGAGAGGACTCCATAGGCTCCACATGCAAACAAGTGATTGCTATTTAAGGAGGTGGAAACACTAGCGACCCCACCTTGATTACGATGCATTGTTCACTGGGGGCGGCACTGTGGGGCAGCAGGTTAAGCTGCTGCCTGCAATGCCAGCATCGCATATCAGAGTGCCAGTTGGTGTCCCAGCTGCTTCCTGCTAATGCACCTGGGAAGGAGCAGAAGATGGCCCAGGTGCTTGGGCCCTGCACCCACAGGGGAGACCAGGTTGGGTTCCTGGCTCCTGGCTTCAGCCTGGCCCAGCCATGGATGTTGCACCATTTCTGAGGAGTGAACCAGCAGATGGAAGATCTCTATCTCCCTCCCTCTCTCTCTCTCTCGCTTTCTCTCTCTCTCTTCTTGCCTTTCACTTAAAATAAATCAATCTTCAAAAAACACATTACGTATATACACATCAGAGTATCACATGTAGAAGTATTGTGTGGCAATAAAGTTGTAAATCATTAACTGAAAACTAGAGAGAGAAAAAAACCTTTAAATTCATATACAAAATGGGCAGACAGAATGAGAACTGTGAATAAAATGAGGTAGAATTAACATTTTTTAACACACCTCAAATGTTATACAGACGAGTAGGCTCTCAAGTACATTACCCAGCTGCTAAATCGCATCCCATTCCACTAGCACCAGAATGAGCAATCTGGAGAGACGCTCTTGCTCTAAATGTACAAACATTGTATCTTCACACTTAGCAAACATTCACTTTTTAACAACTATCATTCCATCAGACTCCTAAAGAAACTCCACATTTTGATTATCTTGAATTCCCTTCTATTCTAGCTAACTGAAAGCAAAGTTCTTCTAAACTCCTACTGAGTGACTGCTCTTGTCCTCCTGCCCATGCATTGCTTGGTCCTCTCAGCTCCAACTGAGCACGGACGCTCCTGCTGTGACCCTAGCTCACAGTCTCATCCCATCAACTGTGAGAAAAGCAGGCTAACGGAGAACTACCACCTCCAGCTGAAGCCAGCTCCGGGAGTTCTAACCGGCTTCTAAGCAAAAGGGGACAATACGGTCAACCACAAATGAGCATAGCACATTCTATGCTTACTCAACTTCTTTTTATTTAAACAGATTTACGGCAGGTTCAGCTACAGAAAAACTTGTGAGAAATCTCAGTGGGTCAGAGGCATGGAAGTTAAAGGCTGGTGTTTGACTGCCTAAATATCAGCTCACCAAACCAGCACGCCAAAAACTGTGGCCCCTGGGAGCACTGATCAAAGAATTATTACTGGGGCCGGTGTTGCGGCACAGAGGATTGAGCCTTACCTGAGATGCAGGCATCCCATACGGGTGCTCGTTTGAGTCCTGGCTGTTCCACTTCCCATCCAGCTCCCTGCTAGTGTGCCTGGGAAAGCAGCAGAGGATGGCCCAAGTGTATGGGCCCCTGCACCCATGTGGGAGACCCGGATGAAGCTCCTAGCTCCTGGCTTCAGCTGGACCAGCTCTGGCTGTTGTGGCCATTTGGGAAGTGAACCACTGGATGAAAGATCTCTGTCTCTCCCTCTTTCCCTGTAACTCTGCCTTTCAAATAAATCTGTTTTTAAAAAGAGAATTATTACTAACGTTTTACCTAAGTCCTCGGTATGGCCAGTCTTTTAATACCTAAGAGGCTGAATTCATCCAAACAAAAATATTTCTTATTAACAGATGTGCAGAATCCACCAAGAATGAGTCACTCTCAACGACAGGTCCCTGAGACAGCTTCCTCTGGACCCTACGTGAGTGCCATCCACTTTTTTTTTTTTTTTTTTTTTTGACAGGCAGAGTGTACAGTGAGAGAAAGAGAGACAGACAGAAAGGTCTTCCTTTTGCCGTTGGTTCACCCTCCAATGGCCGCCGTGGCCGGCACATCGTGCTGATCCAAAGCCAGGAGCCAGGTGCTTCTCCTGGTCTCCCATGCGGGTGCAGGGCCCATGCACTTGGGCCATCCTCCACTGCACTCCCGGGCCACAGCAGAGAGCTGGCCTGGAAGAGGGGCAACCGGGACAGAACCGGCGCCCCAACCGGGAGTAGAACCCGGTGTGCCAGTGCTGCTAGGCGGAGGATTTGCCTAGCGAGCCACAGCGCTGGCCGCCATCCACTCTTATTATAAAAACAAGAGATTGGCTGGCGCCGCGGCTCACTAGGCTAATCCTCTGCCTGTGGTGCCGGCACCCTGGGTTCAAGTCCCAGTTGGGGTGCTGGATTCTGTCCCGGTTGCTCCTCTTCTAGTCCAGCTCTCTGCTGTGGCCCGGGAGGGCAGTGGAGGATGGCCCAAGTGGTTGGGTCCTGCACCCGCATGGGAGACCAGGAGGAAGCACCTGGCTCCTGACTTCAGAATGGCGCAGCGAGCCGTAGTGGCCACTTAGGGGGTGAACCAACAGAAAAAGGAAGACCTTTCTCTCTCTCTCTCTCTCTCTCTCTGTCTCACTAACTCTGCCTCTCAAAAAAAAATAATAAATAAAAATAAAAAAGAGAGATACTTAGGTTACTCTTCTAGACTTACAGGCATGGATGAAAATCACATGTTTTATAAACTAAAAGTAAACAATCCTAATCAGAAATATAAAGAGTCTTAGAATGTCAGAGGTGGGTGACAAGGACTCAATCAATCCCCTTATCAAATAAGCAAACTCACTTGTTTTTTTTGAGTAATAGTATCCAGTGTTATTTATCAATATACCACACACAAGTAAATAAAAATTAGCAAAAATGACAAAGACATAATACTGTATAGAAGGAAAACTAGTACTTGAAGATCAAGAGTTCAGGGTTCTAGTCTACCACTCATTGTCAGTGACATGGGGTAGGGGGCAGGGGGAGGTGTTTTGCTTTTTTGGATATAGCTATCTGGTTTAAAATACAGAAAAATGATACCCACCACAAGGATTAAATATAATGGATGTAAAGTATTGAACACAGTACCAACAATCTGCTTTCAGATCATACACACACAAAATGCATTTCAGGGTGAGTCCATTTAAAATCAAGTGCTTAGTAATGATACTTAATGATGTTTCTTTTGAATGTAGTTCCATAAAGATAATGGATAGGCCTTGGATTTATCTTCTATTGCTGCTCTGCTAAGTGAACCCCAATTTTGTGGCTGAAAAGAAGACAAACTTCTTAACTTCTGATCTCATCACTCTGAAGGCCAGAAAGCCAACATGGATGCTACAGGGATAAAAAAATATCAGAAGATTTGCAGACCAAGACTTGCCAGCTGGTCTGTTTTTCACAGGAAGTTTTGTTGTCACTGAGTCTTCATGGTTCACGGCACCAGGGGGCGCTGGAGGCGGCCCTGGATGGTAACCGCGGAGCCTCAGTGTCGCTTGCCGAGACATGGGCCAGCACGGTTCCCACCCAGAGCCTTCCAGGAACGCAGTCCTGGCCTCTGCCGGTCTCCAGAGATCTCCCGCACTCCCTGTGCCAGTCTCCACATCACCCCAGCCTCTGCCGCCGTCATTCCAACTTCTTTCTTGGGCTCCAGCCCCACCGCCTCCCCTTTCACTTTTGCGGGAACCCTTTTGATTAGGTGGGGTCCACGGCATAATCCAGGACAATCTCCTGGTCTTTAAGACCAGGAATGTAATCACGCCACGCCCATTGTGCCGGGTCAGATGACGCACTCACAGAGCCTGGGGATCAGGACAGGGCTGGGGAGGGTGGCAGTGTCCTCCCTACCACAGACCCCTTGGCGTGGCTCAACGTCCTAATAAATCCTGCCGCTACAGTAGGTGGTTCTATTTATATCTGAAACCTCTGATACCTGATACATTTCTCTTCATTAGTTGAGAATAAATTGGCTTGCCTGAACGGTCAACAGCTATTTCTTTTATAAGCTGCACCACTTATGCACCAATCATCTGTACTGGGGGCATATGGAGCTTTCCTTTATAGGTGTCAACCGGGGGTGGGGGGGTGGGTGGGAGGGGAACGCATATTCAGAATGATTGCTCAATCACCAAGAGAATGCCTGCCACTTTATGGGGCTCCGTTATCATTCCTGGACATCATACTCTTCAGGTACACATGTCCCATTTGTGAGGGATGTCGAGAAGGTGCACGGTGCGCGGCCACCTGATCTGGCTTCACCGTGGTGCCCACTCGTAGCCGAGAGGGAGATGGAGACTCCCAACTCACCAGTGGCTCTCTGTTTTTGACCAGGCGGATGATCTTCACGGAGTCTTCCTCATCGTCGATGTCATCGGGCATGGGTGGCAGCACCGGGTCATAGTTCTTTTGCGCCACAGTGTCGTGTACAGACAGCAAAGCCTACGAAATTCAAAGGTTGGTTAGGATAGAAACGAAACCCAGGACCCCCAAAGAGTGTTACCGTTTTGACCCGATGATGGCAAGTAGGAAGCCAAGTACTCTCAAAGCCAACTGTCAAACAGCTGTGGGTGGGGGGGTAGGAGGATGGGGGAGAGAGACCTGGATGGAGACTACAGAGGCAGCAGAGCCCCTGGTTTCTCCTGAGAAGGGTGGCAGATGGGAGCAGGGTCAGTGGAGGGAGAGACAAGGCTATAGATATACTGTCAATGAGCCAGCAGGAACAAGGGAATTCTACAGATATTTTATTCCCTAATTTTTTTCCCCATCAGAAAAAAAAAATAAAAATAAGGAACTGGTCAATACAATTGATTCCCTTGATGTTTTAGTTGTCTGTGTAATTAAGGTCCCATAAAAGCATTTTTCGAGAATGAAAATGGGGGCCAGCATGTTAAGCAGCTGCCTGTGATGCTGGCATCCCAATGTGGGCGGCTGGTTCAAGCCTCAGCTGCTCCACTTCCAATCCAGAGCCCTGCTAACACACCTGGGAAATCAGCAGAAGATGGCCTGAGTGCTTGGGTCCTTGCCACCCACGTGGCAGACCCGGAAGGAGATGAGGATCCTGGCTTCAGCCTGAACCATCCCTGGCCATTGCAGCCATTTGGGAAGTGAACCAGCAGATGGGAGATGTCCTTGTCTCAGCCCCTCTCTCCCTGCAACTCTTTCAAATTAAAAAAAAAAAAAAAAAATCTAAAAACCAAAATGAGAAACAAAGGCCAGGATGAAATTAACAGGGACTCACTCGAAAAATAAATAAATAAATAAAAAGATAAGTAAAAGGGTTCTGAAGCAATCACTGAGAGAGAAAAATAAGTGATGGGAGCCCACGGCTGCCCCGTAAGCTTAGAGACGGCTTCCAGGCTGCAACGGGGGGCCAGGAATCCCCACGGAACCCAGTGGTCTCCCTGAGGTGGGAAAAGCAAACTGGGAATGCAGGGAGTCGAGGAGCTGAGGTGCGCGGGGGAGACAGTGGAAGAAGAGCAGAACTCCAGAGGTCTGGGCGAGGCCCTGCTGGACTCCTGAGCCAAGTCCTGTGTGCGGCACACGTGTGAAAGAAAGCACCGTCAAGGGCTGGCGTGATGGTTCCCAGCCATGGGCTGTCTGACGCCCAGGCAACATCTGAAGACACCTCTGGTGGTCACAACTCAGGGATGCTACTCCCAGACCGTGCACAGAGGCCAAGGACGCACCTCCACCCATGGCTGCACACAGGACAGTCCCTACCCCCCAAACAATGACCTGACCCCCATGTCTCATCAGCCCCCAAGCTGACAAATCCCTGTACCATAAGAACAGTCCCTGAGATTTGCACAGGGTGGGAATGGTTCCTGACTTCACCAGCAAGAGGGGGAAACATTATTAATTCCCATGGTGTGGTGGAGAGTAATACCATTGATACTGTTTCAATACAGGGAAAAAAAATCAGCCCAAGATTAAACGCACTATAGTCTCACCTAAAACTTTTAAAAGCAAACAATCAAGCAAATATGAAATAAATAAATAAATGGCAAATTGGGGCTGGCATTGTGGTGTAATGGGCTTAAGCCACTGCCTGAAATACCAACATGTCATATAGGCGCTAGTTTGAGTCCTCGCAGCTCCACTTCTGATCCAACGCCCTGCTAATGTGCTTGGGAAAGCAGTGGATGATGGTTCAAGTGTTTGGGTCCCTGTACCTATAAGGGAGACCCAGATTAAACTCCTGGCTTCAATCTGGCCATTGGGGACATTTGGGAAGTGAACCAGAGGATGAAGAACTCTCTCTCTCTCTCGCACGCTCTCCCACTCTTGCTCTCTCTGTAACTCTGACTTTTGAATAAATAAATCTTTACCAAATAAATCAAGGCTTAAAATGTTTCCATATAACTGTATAACAGAAAAAAGTTCAACAATATTATCAATAGAAACACAAAAGTATCCAGCCTCAAACAAGGTACAACTCATTACCAGCAGTCAAGCAAAAATTACCAGGCCTGCAAACAGAACAGAGACTGTTACACATAATAAAAAAAGCAATGGAACCAAACCCTGAAATTACACAGATAGCAGACAAGGAAGTTAAAAGCTATTTTTACAACTATACTCTAAATCTCAAAAAGGCTGGAGAAAGACTGACCAGGGAATAAGAAATACATAAAAAACATTTAAGTCAAAGCTCTAAAATGAAAAATATGATGTAGGAAATGAAAAAAGTACACCACATGAGATTAATACAGATTAGACAAAGCAGAAGAAAAAGTAAACTCACAGAGCAATATAAACTCTCCAAAAAGAAACATAGAGAAAAAATGTATGGAAAAATTATGAACAGGGCATTAATGAATTGTGTGACAACATTAAATGGTATTAAAATGCAACTGGCATCTCTAAAGAAAGAGGGAATGCTAAAAAAACAAAAGGCTCCAAATTTCGTTAAAAAATATATATATGTGCCCATATGTGCCAAAAAATTCAAAGTTCCCAAAAATAAGAAAAATAAGACCAAATTACTTGAAATTAGTCAGAAAATTTTAAAATCACAAGAAAAAAAAGCATATTACTTAGAATGACATCATTTTCCATCAGAAACAATATGAGCCACAAGACAATAGAAAAACATCTTCAAAAAACTCCAAGAAAAATATGAGTACATGGCCAGAGTTGTGGGGAAGCAGGCCAAGCTGCCGCCTGACACCAGCATCCTGTATCAGAACACTGCTTCAGGTCCAACTAACAAGCCTGGAAAGGCAGTGGACAATGGGCCTCTGTCACCCACACGGGAGACCTGGATGGGGTTCCAGACTCCTGGCTTCAACCTGGCCCAGCTCCGGCTGCTGTGGCCATTTGGGCAGTGAACCAGAAGATGGATAGATCTCCCCCCGCCCCGTGTGTGTGTGTGTGTGTGTGTGTGTGTGTGTGTGTGTTTCTCTCTCTTCCTGTCACTCTGCCTTTCAAATAAAACAAAGTATAAATCTTTTTAAAAAGTCTTAAAAAAAAAAAGAAAGAAAAGAAAAAAGAAAAACACAAGTACTGTCAACCTAGAATTCTATACCCAGCAGAAATATCTTTTAGAAATGAAGGAACATCGAGGACTTTCTAAAGACTTACAAGGGCGGGGAAAGACATGTCAGCATCAATACATGCATTGCAGGGAATGCTGTAGGAAGTCTTTAGACAAGAGGAAAACCACAGCAGATGGGAACATGGAATGAGCAACACGAGAGAGACCCACTATCTGGGTACCTACAGCTACTGTGTTGCCCAGAGTAAAGAAAAATAGAGACAGCTAATAAAAATATTTTAAAATAATGTAATTACTATAGTTGCAATATTATAAGTTATAGCCATAGATATTCTTTTCTCCTTAGCACTGGACTCACTTCCATGTTTGGATTCCAAAATAGCTTTATAGATATCAAGATCACCTGTGTTATTAGCTTTGCTTTACAAGTATTTCTGGTGAGCAGCCTTTATATTTTGGACAACTACAAGTCATTTTATGTTCCACTTTCCTATACTCACGGTAGGGATCTTATTCTTCAATATACAGACTTTGCTTTCATAGGGCAACAACGGAGATGAAAATTGTGTTTCCATATGCCGTAACCACCACCCCATCCCAACTGATGGGTTTACCTGTTGCTCGAAAGGATCTGCAGGAAATTGAAACGTGGCCTTGTAAGTCATCAGGCTCACAAACTCTCACTGCCTGGGACCCCCTGGAGTTAACTCTATGGTCTACATATCTGTCAGGGCCACAGAATTCAGTGTCCAGCTCAGACGCGTGAGCGACACTCATTTAGCGTCGGAAGGACGCCTAACTTCCTCCTTTAGCCTTAACTCATTCTGCTTGCTCTTGCAGTGAGCAACATCAGGGGAGTGAATGCTTACGAAAAATCAAAAGAGTACAACAATTTTTTTTTTTTTTTTTTTTACCTTTTCAGCAAAACAAAACACTCCCTGACGTCCTAAATGATGCCATGTTCTGCGGAGGGTGTCACTTCGTTTTCTCAAAGCAAGCCCCAGAATGATGATGCAGAAGGTTGATCCGCCTCTCTCACTTCAGAATGACTGTCTCTGCTTCCCCCGGAAGCAGTCTCGAGACAAGTCAGTCAGCAGCCCTCAGCAGTGCCCCCCGGTAGCACCACCACTCTTGCTGACTTCATCACTGGAAGGTAAAGTCACACTCTCTTCTCTCTGCTGGGCTACTCACTACATCCCCCCCTTTTCTCACCATCTGTCGTTTCTTCTACCCTTCAAGATTTGAAAGGCTGGGGCTGTGGCACAGTGGGAAAAGCCACCGCCTGCAACGCCAGCAACCCATCTGGGCACTGGTTCGAGTACCGGCTGCTCCACTGCTGATGGCCCAAGTGGTTGGGCTCCTACACCCATGTGGGAGACCCAGAAGAAGCTCCTGGCTTTGGCCTGGCCCAGTCCCGGCCATGGTTGCCTTGTGGGGAGTGCAGTGGATGGAAGCTCTCTCTCTCTCTACCTCTTCTCTCTCTGAACTCGGCCTTTGAAATAAATTAATTAATTTAAAAAAAAGACTTGAACAGTAAGGTCAGATTTTGTAGACATTGTTGACTTAATAAGAATAATTTTTTTAGTGTGGTAACAGATTGATCAACTCACACTGGACAAAATTTTTCAATCTTTGACAGTCCTCAGGAGAGACTATTGCTACAGAATGACAAACCGTTTCCCAGCTGTTGGAGAGCTGAAGGGCACAGATGGTTCAAGAAGAGTCTCAGCACTTATCTGAAGAGACTCCTAAGGAGAGCGTGAACAGGACCCCAGTGTGGTGCACTGTGAGTTAGAGAACATGAGGGAAAAGCCCAACTATTGCAGACACTACAGAATTATTTGAGGAGACAGAAGAGGCTAAAGTGGAACAAAAACCTGCAACATTTAATAATTACATTGAATTCAATGTACTGGAAGCCTGTTATGCTGCAGGCACATGG